CGTGCTTTTCATGGCCGAGGTAGTGACATCCGTCTCTTTTTTGAGAGCAGTTAATTCTGCTCTAATGGAGATCAAGAACGGGTCTAGTTTCTTGTCCATAGCCTCAACTATCTCAGAATTAACTGAAAGTTTGATTGGAGAGCAGCTATCCCCTCTAGCACTGCCTTGTTAGCCATGGTGCTAGCCTCGCCACCATAGTCATCTTGAATGTCTCTCGGGGTTTCGCTCGCTTGTTCGGTCATTGTTGTTTGAGTGACATGAGAATCCGAATGAATGAGTACAATCAAAATAGGAGTTAAATAGAATAAACAAATGCCTAGAAATTATTATTCAAATGACCAATGATCAATGAACAAATTCGAGGTCATAATAAAATAAATTTAGATTAGAGTTTAACTGAAATTAAATTACTTTGCGCACCAAAAAGACAGAACGCAGAGGAAACCTTCAGCCACATACCTTCGTTGGGCCAACTGGGTGGACCTTACGCATTCATAAATCAAAACAAAATTAAATCACATGCATTTGAAAATTCACCCCTTCACCAGTTTTTGCATGTGTTAACCAAAGAAGAATAAAATGAATTTAAAAAAGAGAGACTTTGATGAATCCTCATCCAGCTGACTCTCTCCAGCGTACTCCTGGGTATCAGTTTGTAGATCAGTCCCAAAACAAAGGCCTTAAAAAGATAGACTGTCATCAGAGAAAGACCTTCTGTCTCATGATTTAAATAGCAGATTGTTTTCATATTTCTAACACGAACAGGATATAATATGACCGAATACATGCAAATAAAAAAATTCCATACACGTATAGAAAATTGTACATTTAAAGCAACAAAATGTTTAAATATATTACTAAAATGCCCTAGTAGCTAAAAAATCAAGTCAAATTACCTAAATGTGTAAACTTTACCTTCGCAATGGTTCAACAAAAAAGGCCTGTTTGTTCAGATGAATCTTCACCTGCTGGTTGCAGCTAAGCTCGTGCAGTGGCAAACAGTCTGTGCACTGTTTAGATGATTTATTGCATCTGAACCTTTGTAACAAACCATGCAAACACAAAGTAACTAGAGAATTATTCAACACAATTTACAATTTCAGTCATGCTGCTACAACATAATTGATTTTAGCAATATTAAATATTATAGTGTTTTGGTCAATGGCTTCCATTTTGTCCCACATAATTAGGATCAGAGATTTAAAATGAGAAATGTGTTTTGATTAAAAAATACAAACCCTTGAAAACTCCAGGCCTTGGGCGTGACTTCTTCAAGACACTTTCTGCTTCCTCCAGTAACCATTCAGCTTTTAAGTTGCAGTATAAATACAACATTTTGATATGGCATTTGGCTTAGTTTTGATTTATTTGAACACTTCTATCACTACAATGTTGTACATGAGGGCAAATGTACAGCTGAAAGTATTTTTTAAAGGCAAAAGCTAGTCTCAGCATTGGACACTCAATAGACTGGGATCAGTCTTGGATTATATGAAGAAACATACAGCAATTGAGATTTAAGCCTAAATCCACAGAATAGCACTTGCCATGAACTTTCTCTTACCTGATTTCTCTTAGACTGGGACAGTCCCAGGTGAAGGAAAGGATTGAATTAGCCCAGGCCTTTGTCAGGCTTCTCATATTCAGATCCAACTTCCATACAGACAAAGAATGTAGAAGAAACAGTAGTATATTTTTGCCTGATTTTAGGAGTGTAGAAAGTTCTATCCAGTCAACACTGACAAGGTCTGATCGTGGAAAAGACAGGCTGAATTGCAGTTCAGATCTTGGACTTTTGGCTACTTCAATTCCAAAATTAAATGAAAGACAAATACAGTATAAACTTTAGCCACAGAGACACATCATAAAATTTAACCATGTTGTTGTTAAAGACCATGTTGAAGTCTGGAAACCACAATTAGCTGTAAACAGTTGCAATTATCTAAAATATGACAAAAACAGAAATACTAAAAAGTTGAATGTTATGTTAATTAGGTTAATTTTAGTGTTATTAGTATTTCTATTTTAAGGTTTATTGAAGCATTTATTAACAGAATTCTATTTTGATGACTGATTCAATCAACAAACTCAACTTTTTCAGTTTTGTTTTGTATTATTTTTTATAGAGTTGCTTTATATTCATTATAAATGAAATTAATAGATTGTGATGGAAGACGTTTATAACACTGACACTGCTCTTCAAATGTTTACTTCTGTAAAGCTGCTGTAGCATTTGGACCAATCAGACACACAACTTTTTGTTATATTTAACAAATAATATCTAACGCCCCCTCACCTAACCAAAGGGCCAATTACGATGCTTTGAAGCCATTTATATTGTAAAAGGCACTGTGTAAATAAAATTGATTGACTGACTGATTGCCCTTGTAGCCATGAATATAAATTTTGCTTCAAAAATTCCTAATCAAAAGCTGAGTGTTTTGGTACAATCTTGATCCATTTTTGCTGGTTTTAGATCATGGGGAATGTACATATCAGATCAGTAGATGTTGCCACTAGAAGCATAGACGTTTTAGTCAAACTGAGCAATGTGTAAAGATGAAGAAAATAAAACATGGTAATTGAACTGGTTAATATAACTGGTAATAAAAATTATGATAATGAATCTGTTTAAAACCCAATAAGAGACTTGAGTAAAAACTGTCATCCCGCCAAACACCATTCAGTCTGTCTAAATCACTGTCTTTACTCTCACTCATCCTATGGACACTAAAAAACAACCACAAAAATAACTACATTTAAGAGTTAATAAAAGCACAGTGAAATATGAAACAGAAAGAACAATGTGACAGTGACAGTTCAACTGTCAGATTTGTATCTAAACTTCATCATCTTACATTATATAAAGCTTAACATATCTAGTTTATAATAGTTCAAATGGCTGGAAATGTCATAAAACTTTTCATTTATATTATATTATATTATATTATATGTTCATACTCGAATGCTCACAAAACTACAAATCCGTTAAGCATGTTTGTTAATGACCTGTTATTAATTAAAAGTTATGTGGTGTATTTTGTTATGCACTAATAATGTTATTGCTTAATAGCATCACTAGAGGGCGCTGGATGACGAGTACTGAGACTGCGTTTTACCACCACTCACATATATCATCAACACATCTCTCCTCACAGGCACTTTCCCCACTTTATTCAAGCAGGCTCAGGGTAACCCCACTGCTCAAAAAACCTACATTAAACATTTCACTTACAGATAGCTACAGACCTGTCTCTCTCCTTCCGTTCATAGCGAAAACTCTCGAACGAGTTGCTTTCAACCAGGTATCATTGTTTCTTTGACAGAACAACAAACTGGATGCTAACCAGTCAGGTTTCAGGAGTGGCCACTCAACTGAGACTGCGTTACTGTCAGTTACGGAAGCCTTGCGAATGGCAAAAGCTGATTCCAAATCATCACTTCTTATTCTGCTGGATCTATCTGCATGCTTTTGACACTGTCAATCACCAGATCCTCCTGTCTGCCCTCTCATCACTGGGCATCACAGGGATCCCACTTCTTTCAGGGTGGCCTGGGGAGGAGCGGTCTCCAAAGCTCATCAACTGGTCACTGGGGTTCCTCAGGGATCAGTTCTTGGACCCCTCCTCTTCTCCATATAAACTACATCACTGGGTCCCATCATACAGTGCACATGGCTTCTCCTACCATTGCTGTGCTGATGACACACAGATCTATCTCTCATTTCAACCAGATGATGCAACGGTAGCTGCACGGATCTCAGGCTGCCTGGCGGACATCTTGGCATGGATGAAAGAACATCACCGACGCTACTTGACCTCATCTTAAAAAAACAACAACTTTTCTTTCTCTTTATTTATTCCTTCCCTTTTCTAGCTTGTACTTAGTTGAACAATGCCTAAAACTTGGTATTTCAAGCACTTCCTGTGTCTGTTTGCCTCTTTAAGAAGAATTGCTTTATGCATTCCCCAATTGTAAGTCGCTTTGGATAAAAGCGTCGGCAAAATGACTAAATGTAAAAAAAAATGACTAAATGTAATGGGATGGAGTTAGTTCTTCTGCTCTCTCTCTCTCTCTCTCTCTCTCTCTCTCTCTCTATGCTCTAATTTAAATGTGTTCTTTAATAAAGATTTAGTTAGTCTTCATGGATGCGGGTCATCTAGAATACAGGAATTACTACTGCTTTACCTGAAGAATTCATTCCTGTGGTCCTTCTTGAAGTTCGCCTTACTTATCTCAGGCCACTCGACTGCCCCAAAACTAAGCCACAAAAATAATTATATTTTGTCATCGTGAAATTCGATTCTGAAAGGGTTCATTGTGCATATACTAAGTCACTGTGTTTGTTCTGAGAAACTGCAAACACCCAGTTATGTGTACTGTGTAAATAAGAATGAAGTGAATTCTCACTTTAATGCAGTCAGACTGGTGTTTGTCTGAAAGAAGTTAAGGACTCTGGATGCTCCATCCACAGTCATGAATCTGAAGACAAGATCCAATTCCTTCAGACCAGAGACCGAGTGCAGGACAGAGAGCAGATCTCTCACACTCTCATCATATTCTAAAGAACTGTAAAAAACACAGATTTTTGAGTCATTTTGACCTAAAACACTGTTTATTTATCTGTCATTCTCCCCATTTAACAATCAGATTCATACAAACACTCTCTTTGGTGAAAACATTGACTCACAACTCAGTCAAGTCTTTCAGCTGGTTGTAGGCCTAAAAGAATCTCCTCCAGTCAGCATTTGCATTCTCAGAGTCATCTGTCAAAGTGATGCTGACACATGGAAGCACTTTGTGCACTGGAGGTTCAAAGGGGTTGATATCACAGCAGCCATCTACAGGTGCATCTCAATAAATTAGAATGTCGTGGAAAAGTTAATTTATTTCAGTAATTCAACTCAAATTGTGAAACTTGTGTATTAAATAAATTCAATGCACACAGACTGAAGTAGTTTAAGTCTTTGGTTCTTTTTATTGTGATGATTTTGGCTCACATTTAACAAAAACCCACCAATTCACTATCTCAACAAATTAGAATAAGACTGCTGATCTTGAGTCTGACCTTCTGCAGACCAGGAACGGAGAGCAAGGTGGACATCAAATCACCCACAAGCTCTTCATGCTCTTCACATCTAGATTTTGGACAACATAATTAGACTTGATGAATGATGAATATGTAAAGTGCAAATTTTCAAATAAAGAAACATAAGTGTTTAACTATAAGCAAACAATACATTTTCAGGTAAATAATGAAATGGCAGAATCCTTACCCTTCTTCTAAACCTTTAAGGATGTCAAGAGTTTCAAAGAGTTCCCGTCCATCCAGTTTAGGAATCTCTGAACATGGTGATATGAATGAAATGAATGATGGAGATATTTCAGTCATGCTGTCACGGGCCAACTGAATGTCGACTGTCAAGCTTGAAATAAAAGACAACGAGATAAGTCACAAGTAAATTTTTCTATGGTTATATTAGAAATCTGTGTACCTTATTTACGACCTGTACAGTTAGGGATAAACTTACGTGGAGTCTGTGTTTCTGGTGACGCTGAGAGAGGAACACACATTGAGCTCACTGTATCTCTTACTGTACTCCACCTGCAAACTGACAGCCTGATATTTAAAAAATGTACACTTTAATATACTTTAATATCTGATCATTGTCTGCTTTAAGTTAATCTTCCAGTATAAGAGAATAAAATAAAAAAAATGATATAATGTTAAAATATGATAAATCATTTTGATCTACTGATTTCCAGTCAAATAGCCTGAATCCTGCAAACAACCTATATTTTTAAATGAGATATAATACAACCTTTGCTTATTTAAAAGAAATCGGTCATCACAAACGTCATTATACTTGTAATTTTAAACAAGGATGCTTTAAATCGTCTTCCATGTGGAACACAAAAATAATTATCTGGTTGAGTCTCTTTAGTTTATCATACCAGATGTTATGGAGACTGGGACACGTGTGACACATAGAGAGGATCTTTGCACCCAAGTTCTCAGTCAGGCTGTCGGTCGTCAATTGCACCTTGTTCAGAGCAGACACTGAGTGCAGGGACAACAGCAGAGCATCCACAGTCTCGTCAAATGTAGGACTTCTGTTATTACATGGAAAATTATTAACAAAAGTATTATTTAATATTCAGTTTCATGGTGAATACCAAAATATTCAATGATTATTTTTACATTATAGAGATCCCTTTGCATTGAATATATGCTTTTAGAAAGTTTTTCCAGTCACTGCTAGTTTTTTCTGAGTTTTCAGACAGGGTGAGCGCTATGCTTGAGAACAGTGACTTTGTCCTGGGACTGGAGCTGGTGCACTTCAAAAACAAGCTGAAATACAAACAAAATTTGAGTTGGCCTAACAAATACCACACTATTTGTACACAAAGATTCATAAAACAGTTAAATAAAATGTTCGTATTTGCTACACAAATGTTGGGGAATATATTATGGACTTTTGATTACTGTTAACACTTTACTGCCTCTGATCTTACTTGTTCTAAATAGGCTCATCTCACAAAAAAACATTCTGTTGAACAGTTTATGTTACCTGCATTGCCCTGATAATCTCTTCCACATCCTGAGATCTGAGCAGACAATACGCTCCATGCTGTCCAGTTCATAAGAATCACTTTGGCTGAAAATCACATAGCCTCTATCACGTTTCTTAGCAGACGAAACTGATCACAGTATGGTGTTATAGGGGAAAGTAATGATTTTAACAGTTTATGTTTCTCACTTGATTTCATCGCTGCAGTCACTGAGAGGTGAGGACATGCCATCTTCATCACTGTCATCTGACATCTGTCCTGCAGACTGAGACCTGTGAATATTTTCATAAACCATGCCATGTTTATTTAAAAAAAAATATATATTTTCAGATGACATCGCAGATCCCTTTTACTTTATCCTATCTCCTTCAACAACCTCACTCTTTCTGGTATGCAATGCCCACTTTTTACAATCAATAAAATCAAGTCCCAGCCTATATTTAGTTTCACTCGGAAATACCACGTCAGATTATGTAAGTAAAACGGGTTATGAGCAGTGTTTAAAACCCAATAAGAGACTTGAGTAAAAACTGTCATCCCGCCAAACACCATTCAGTCTGTCTAAATCACTCTCTTTACTCTTACTCATCCTATGGACACTGAAAAACATCCACAAAAATAACTACATTTAAGAGTTAATAAAAGCACAGTGAAATCTGAAACAGAAAGAACAATGTGACAGTGACAGTTCAACTGTCAGATTTGTATCTAAACTTCATCATCTTATTCACTATCTCAACAAATCTCACTATCTCTAACCCTAACTCTAACCCTTATTATATAAAACTTAACATATCTAGTTTATAATAGTTCAAATGGCTGGAAATGTCATAAAACTTTTCATTCATATTATATATTATATTATATTATATTAATTATATTATATTATATGTTCATACTCGAATGCTCACAAAACTACAAATACGTTAAGCATGTTTGTTAATGACCTGTTATTAATTAAAAGTTATGTGGTGTATTTTGTTATGCACTAATAATGTTATTGCTTAATTGCACTCTCTCTCTATCTCTCTCTCTCTATATGCTCTAATTTAAATGTGTTCTTTAATAAAAATTTAGTTAGTCTTCATGGATCATCTAGAATACAGGAATTACTACTGCTTTACCTGAAGAATTCATTCCTGTGGTCCTTCTTGAAGTTCGCCTTACTTATCTCATGCCGCTCGACTGCCCCAAAACTAAGCCACAAAAATAATGATATTTTGTCATCGTGAAATTCGATTCTGAAAGGGTTCATTGTGCATATACTAAGTCACTGTGTTTGTTCTGAGAGACTGCAAACACCCAGTTATATGTGTACTGTGTAAATAAGAGTGAAGTGAATTCTCACTTTAATGCAGTCAGACTGGTGTTTGTCTGAAAGAGGTTAAGGACTCTGGATGCTCCATCCACAGTCATGAATCTGAAGACAAGATCCAATTCCTTCAGACCAGAGACCGAGTGCAGGACAGAGAGCAGATCTCTCACACTCTCATCATATTCAAAAGAACTGTAAGAAACACAGATTTTTTAACTAAAACACTGTTTATTTATCTGTCATTCTCCCCATTTAACAATCAGATTCATACAAACACTCTCTTTGGTGAAAACATTGACTCACAACTCAGTCAAGTCTTTCAGCTGGTTGTAGGCCTGAAAGAATCTCCTCCAGTCAGCATTTGCATTCTCAGAGTCATCTGTCAAAGTGATGCTGACACAGGGAAGCACTTTGTGCACTGGAGGTTCAAAGGGGTTGATATCACAGCAGCCATCTATATAATTCAGATGGTTACAGCCGACAGAGAGCCTGCAAAACAACAGAGGACAACTGCTGCTAAAAACATTAAAAGAACGAGAAGAGTTTAAGCAATTGTATTTTCTCAGAATTTCCAGACTTGCTGGACAGCTAGTGATATTATTATAGCAGTTGCTTTTTCCCAGTATCTAAGGCAAAATCATAACCTTATAAAGTATTCCAAAAAGATCAAGGAAAATACAGACAACTGGAATAAATGCTGGAATACATTACACAACACTAGGCACCATACACTGTATACACAGACACTACCAGACTTTCTAAAAGACAAAAAACATGACTATCATACATCATTTTCTGTGGAATCTGTCAACTTCGACTGCCCAAAATCAGCATACTGGCTCTGACTTTCTGCAACTACACTCTAAAAACTGTAAATAAATCCAGTATTACTGGAGTATGTTTTACAAGCAAATACTGCTTCAAAATGTCATGTTTATTTTAATGTTACTTGCCATTTCTTTGTAATTGTTGTGAAATTTACTAGCAATCTGTACCAAACGTGTGTAGAGTATTCCAGCCTTAAATGTCAATTATAAATCTAAGCGAATGTTACTGGACAGTACAGCACACTGGAGTTTATAGTAGATAATATCTTACCTCACTCCATCAGCTCTCATTATACCCAGACTCTCCACATCACTAACAGCAGACATATCGGTATTCAATCTGCCAAAAGAGAATTTATTGAGTTTAGTTTTAGGTACAGAAAGATGATACAACCACTTCCTTACAAATGCATTGCGGCAGTACCATGGCATCAGATGGTAACATGATACTATGATATACAGTATAGTCAACATTTGAAGTGGATCAAAACCTTTCATCAAAGTTGTCCTAAAACCAAAACAATACCTGTTCTTGTCTTAGGACAACTTTGATTAACTTTTTTGATCCACTTCAAATGACTGTATACCATGGTATTGAATGTCTACCATATTAATATAAAATGGTATTTTCATCATGGTACGTCTTTGAACATTTTGTAACGCATCAGGCTATTCTTACTGCAAGTGAAGTAAGCTGGAACAAGACAGGAAGAGGGTTAACAGACCAGCCGCCCAGCTCTCAATCAGGTTGTTTAGCCAAACTTTTACTTCCTTCAGGCCGGGAACAGAATGAAGGTACAGCAGCAGAGAATCCATATGCGCATCCAACTCTGGGCATCTAATGAAAAAAATCCATGTATTAGATTATTATTAGACTCTCCCTTGGCCACTGAACCAAACAATGCATTCTTGTATTCATCACCCTGTATGAAGCATACTGATATTGATGCTCATATTGAAAACTGTGACTTAATGTTATAAAGGTAGTTCAGAATTGTCAAGTTTTGACTTTGAAACATAACTATGACTGAAGTCAGTTTAATTCATTCAACTCACTGTTCTGTCAATTGAATGAGTTGGTAAAGCCTTTTGAAAAGAACCTCCCAACTGGCACTAGACCCTTCAAGAGGAGGGAAACTGAGGCTGAGCTTCACCAGTGCCGGTTTGTCCAGTCGATATGAATGTACCAACTCTCCATTGCTACCAGATCTGGAAAGAAACATTCATATTCATACAGTAAATGTGCACACAGTAGGATTTAAAATGGTTATGAATTTACATTTCTTTGTCTTGAAT